CATAGCATTCATAATTCCTACTGTGGTAAGTCTGAATAATGACCACCACGCTCCAACGTTCAAAGTTCTCATTCAGCAAATATTTATGGATGCCTGATCTGTGCTGGAATTCCTTGGTGTGCAAATGGTTAACACACTCAACTGCTAACTGAAAGACTGGAGGCACTAGTCAACACAAAGATACCTTGAAAGAAAGACTTAGTGATCTACTTGTGAAAAATCACTTAAGACTTGCGAAAACCCTATGGGACAGTTCTACTGTGACAAACATCGGCCAGCCATAGGTCTGAGCTGACTTGATGGCAACTGGTTAATCTGTTTCAGGCATACAGCAGTGACACAGCAGTGAACAATACAGAGTACATAATAATCAAGCAAAAAGAAAACTGGTAAGGTGGACTTCATCAAAATTAAAAACTTCTGCTTTGTGAAAAACACTCCTAAGAGAATGAAAAGAGAAGCCACAGAGTAGGAAAAAATATTTGTAAAACATCTATTTGATAAAAGACTTGCAACCAAGATTTACAAAGAACTTCTAAATTGAGCAGTAAGAAAACAAATAACCCAATTACAAAACGGGCAACCTCACCAAAGAAAATGGATAGCAGATAAATACGTGAAAAGCTGCTCAGTATTATAGGTTATTACTAATCAAAACAACAAGATATCACTGTACACCTATTAGAATGGCTAATATCTAAAACACTTGACAACACCAAATGGATGTGGAGTAACAGGAACTCTCATTCACTGTTGGTGGGAATGCAAAACGGTAGAGCCAATCTACAAGAAAGTGTGGCAGCTTCTTACAAAGCTGAATATAGGCTTACCATTTAATCCAGCAATTGTATTCCTAGATATTTATCCAAATGAGATGAAAACCTATGTCCACAAAAACTCACACATAAATGTGTAGCAGCTTTTTTCATAATTGCCAAAACTTAGAAGCAACCAAGGTGTCCTATAATTGATAAATGGATAAATTATGGCACATTCACACAATGAAGGTATATTCAGCTACAAAAAGAAATGAGCTAAAAAGCCACAAAAAGATAGGGAGAAACCCTAAATGTATTTTCGAACTGGCTGCTAAGTGAAAGCAACTAGTTTGAAAAAGCTACAGAACATATGATTCCAACTTATATGACATTCTAGATAAAAGCAGAACTATAGAGATTGTGGTTGCCAGGGGACCAGGGGAAGGGTAAAGGGACGAGTAGGTGGAGCACAGGGTATTTGTAGGATGGCAAAACCATTATAAAC